TTAGATACTGGGGACACTAGGTATCAGTTCATTTCAATTCGTACAACCAGTAACCATGCACTTTTGTGCACCGGCTTGGGTTGCTGTCTTTTGGCTGCCCATTTGAATGAACAGTAGCAGAAAGACAGTGAAGTTGAAGGTAGAGTGGAATATAAAATGGAGAGTTTCAGTGGACTAATGTTACAAAGAAATTGAGAAAATACACAAACCCCACTGTATACGACACTCAGCCATATTACTCAGTGTCTCTAATCATCGGTTGCGATAATCCCGAGGTCCCGAGGTCCGAGCCTTACGGGACCTATGTGACCCAGTCTCCTGGTTAGGGTTTTCATACCTTCGTGCCAACTACTGCAGAGTGTTTTCCTGTAACTCAGCTGTTGAGAATATCTGAACCTTAACCAGATACACTTTCGCCTGAGGTGGGATATTGTGCATTCTAGGAAAAACCACATGGATAGAAGTATGATCTTAACCCGAGTTGTCTTGTCCGCAACGATGATAGTAAGCTGCCAAACGTAATTCAAGTTACGGAATCAGACAACAGATCGTCAAGAGCCTCTGACAAACAATTCACCACCAACTTTACGCGTAGATCCAGATGGTTGATGATTATCCGTAACGTCAGATTTATTGAAAAGAAATTTGTAAGTCACGTGATCTCATAAGTTTTTTTGTGTACGTTTTTAGTAGAGTCTTCACTATTTAACGTTTCCATGTTACCCCTTGTGCTCTTTTTGTTCCAGATCTGGATACCGTTCAATTAGTCCTCAAATGTCTCATCAATCTGTGTTCCACGACGGCGCGCAATCAGCTTTTATTCGACACATTTGAAAAAGATCAGGCGCGATCGGACTTTGTGAAACAAATCGCCAATCTTTGGCTGTCGTGCCCCAATGCGGACGAGGAAATTAGTCGTCTTGCACTGAGTTTACTCTGCAACCTCACCCGCGATCCATGCTGGTCATCCATGGCGATTCAGGAGGATCCGAAAACACTATTGGATTGCATTTTTCGCACAGATGAAATGCTTACTAGTTCGTTACCAGTTAGTCACAACCCCGCGTTTCTTGTGATATAATCTTTTTCAGTTCCTTCTTAATCTGACCAGCCAACGAGAAATTCGAAAACGTATCAGCATCACGGCCCAGTCACGTACTCATCTGATCAGCCTGCTTTTATCTCCGACGGTCGGTGTAAACCAAGCGCTACTGGTCACCGGAATTTTGAAGAACTGTTTTTTTGATGATGGTAAGTAGCCAGTGTGGCGTTTTGTATCTACCTTCCATCATATTTCCAGATTATCATCTTTTATGGCTTGCACCTCAGTCCCAACTCCTCGACGGTTTGTTAAGACCACTCTGTGGTCCGCAGGACGACATTGATGACGAGGATCGACAGAAATTGCCACCGGGATTGCGACAAGTTGCCGGCTCTAAACAAGCCAAGCGGACGGAGTCAAATGATTTGAAACAAACCATTTGTGAAGCACTGTTACAGGTAGGCACTGATTCACCGAGTGCCACGTAATCTGCTTCCTTTCCACTACTGTTACAGCTGTGCGCGACAAGTGAAGGAAGAACTCGCCTACGGGATTGTGGAACGTATTTTGTGTTGCGTGAACTTCACAAGTTTGAAAACTCCAAACTGTCCGATAGAGACGAGGATGTCGACACGAACAAAGCTTCGGACCGATCCCGAACAAATGAGATAGTGTATCACATTGAACAAGTCGTGGATCAGCTGATTTGCAAAGAAGAAGAACGTGATCGATATTCCGTGGAGAACAGTTTGCGTAACATCGATGTAGATGCGGAAACGTCGGCCAAATTGGACCGGGCAAAACAGGAATTTATAAGCACGTGTTAACTGGACAGAGGAGCTTTACCACTGATCTGTCTTTCCACGAGAAATGTGCGCCACAAGAATCACTTGTATGTACATATGACTTTTTAATCATAATAGACAACCTATGGGAATTCAGTCGAGTTTTGTAAATCTCAGCGAGTGAAATGTCAAGCATTTTGTGGTTCAGCACATATATAT